TGATTTTGATTGACTTGCCTCCGATAACTTGCCGGATTCTTAGATTCGTTTTTGGTACTTGCGTTTGTATCGTTTACTTTGCTTAGGAGGGTTCTCACTTCAAGTGTTAGGACGAGACTGAAAATCAATTGAATGTCGTGTTTTTGAAATATTTATAAAAATAACATATTTTTAAATGGAACACCCTGTATATTTTTACATATTTCAAAAGACAATTTAATTTGGAACAAAAATGTATTATTGCATCATACCCTAAACTTAAAAACAAACATTTAATAAGAACTTGAATTTTCTGATTGTTAAAATAAAGTAATAATTTGGTTATTTAAACAACCATAAAAAAGTTTAATTGCTTATTACCTAATTGTTTATTTTTAATTTGTGTAGTAATGCAATAATAATTTTTTGTTCCAAATTAAATTCTCTTTAAATATACACAGGGTGTCCCGTTTAAAAAAATATTATTTTTGTGAACATTTCGAAAACCCGGCGTACAATTGTTTTTTTCTTTTGACCATTTAAATCAGAAGAAAAAAATACAATTTGCTAATTTAACTGACTTTGTGGCTTTAATAATAACGGTGTATATAGGGTTCAACCGTAAGTGACAGCGCATTAAAAATATTTTAGAAAAATAGATCACATCGCGCTATTATAGCTGCAACCAACATTTTAGATTGGTGTCTCTTTTAGTTCTCTACCCATACCGCAAAATCCCATTCTCTGCATATGTCAGGAATATTCCCAGGATTATTCCAAGCGTACCAGAATATCACATATATGTGACGTATGTACGACTTTCCAAGATTAATCAAAATCGTGGCAGATAGGTGAAAGGTTTGGCGCGTTTTACCTCGAGTATTTGTGTTGGTTTAGATTTATTTATAGAATGAAGGTGTGTTTTTTCTTAAAATTCCTCGTCGAAACAGTCATCTCCGAGGTGGATAATTAGTTCCGAAACTTCGTCCATTATTCTTTGCCGCTGGAACTACTCATCAGTAAGGCTAAGTGTCTGGTTCCAAATCTCCAGCACTTTGTTGTCGCTATAGTTTTTACCTCTTGGATACAATTTAATGGGAGCTGGGGACCCCCATGCTCCAGTCCCCTTTGAAAATAATAAGTTAAACACAATCGCTGTTTCCCATCCAACCGATTTCTGGGCATTCTGATGACACTAATTTCATACCTTATTTGATGCAAAAAAACTTAAAAATGATTGAAATATACAGAGTGTCTCAAAAGTCAAGGACAGCAGAAAAGGGGCGGATACAGGATCAAATAGTCCTTGCCATTTCGTGACCTTGGAATGACAAGGTTCTAAGTGCAGTTGCGCCGTTAAGCAAAAATGACTTATCTAGAATATTAATTATTGCAGGTAAGGCATTTTTGCTTAACGGGGCAACTGCACTTAGAACCTTGTCATTCCAAGGTCACGATTTGTTGATCAGACGCACCATTAATTAATTGTTAATAAAATAAAGTAGCCAATCACAGGCGTGTTTTAACAGAATGATTAGAGGTGGGAGAAGTATAATGTGCAGCTTAATCTTAAAAATTCTATATAAAATCGTAGTTTAAAATGACCTTAATTGTATGGTTGACATTGTCACTGTCAGTGTTAGTTTTAACTTGAGACATTCTATTTTTTAGGGAAAATTGGTGACCCTAAAAAGGACCGTTTTTTAAATAGACTTCGGTCCAACTTTAACTCTTTAGATGCTTAAAGGTCCCTTCATTTCTCTGAGAGTACATTTCAGAACGTTTAATGATGTTCGTTCTGACGTTCTCCAGTATTTCTGGTGTTATTAGCTAATCCTCGGGCACGATTTTGTAAACGACGCCCTTTATGTATCCCCACAAGAAACAATCCATAGGTGTTAAGTCTGGTGATCTTGGGGACCTTAAGAACGCGTTCTTCATTATGAAGGCTGCGAGCTGTTCGTGGACGGCCAACGCATTCAGCGGCACCCCGTAAAACGTTGCCATTCCTATTAAAATCTTGAACCGCGCGGAGAATTGAAGCCATTTATATTAAAATCTTGAACCGCGCGGAGAACTGAAGCCTGATTTAAAAACCGATCACGCACAATTATTGTAGTCGTGCAGCTTCCGCAGCATTGTAAGCATACGAGGTGTGTTCAGAAAATATCGGGAATTTTCGTTTTTTGATACAAATATTTATTTATTCGTCTACATTAATGTTGTTGCCTTCAAAATAGTCCCCATTGGATATTATGCACTTGTGCCAGCTCTTCTTCCAATACTCGAAACACTTCTAAAACTCGATCTTTGGGATAGCCTTTAGTTCTTTCAGCGATGCGCTTTTAATGTCATCTATTTTTGGGAACAGGAAAAAGTCAGACAGAGGCATGTCTGGCGAATATGAAGGCTGGGGCATCATTACAGTATTGTTTTTGGCCAAAAAAGTTGTTCAAAATTTAACAATTTTAGAACAAATTTTGCTGCCACGCGTTTCAAACCCAAAACATTTGAAACAAACTCATGGGATGAGCCAATCGATATACCAACATCATCAGCGACTTCTCTGATGGTTTATAACCATTTCTTCCACTTTTTCCATGTTTTTATCGGTTGTTAATGTGCTTGTGCGTTCGGGGCGTTCGTCATCTTCAACGTCTTCACGGCCATCTTGGAAACTCTTGTTTTACTTATAGCAGACTCACTATAGGCCTTTGTAAACATTTCACAGAATTTATTTCATTTCTAAGCAAAATTGGATACAAATTCTTTTATCCATTTGTTTTAACGAACGAAAAATCGCCGAGCTCATAAAACACGTATAACCTTAGCGGCTGCCACAGACAAAGTAAGCAATGAAAACAGTTTTTATTACATTATGACAACCGGACCCTCCGAACCCGCGAAATTTAACAATTCCCGTTATTTTCTGAACACACCTCGTACTCGTGATAAATACGGCAAAGGTATACGCGCAAGGTATTTCAAAAACTTTTTTTTTAAATGACATTATTACATATTTATTTAAATATCTCTAATTAAATAATGTTAAAATTAATTATTTTTAATAATAATAAAATACTTATTTTTACTTATTTAAAAAAAGTTAAGTAAAGTATATCACCTAGGTATTTACTTATTTATTAATTCGCAACTTAAAAAAAATCACAAAAAGAACCCATTTGTTCCACACAAAAAAAACATTTTTCCTGCACCTAAAAACCCAAAACAATGACAGTGACAGTGAAAAAATAAAATTAAGGTCATTTCAAAATATGATACGTTCATAAGTATGGAATGGCAAAAGATTTTGTTGTCCCACCTCTAATCATTTTGATAGAGCACGCCTGTGATTGGATACTTTATTTTATTATCGGTGCGTCTGATCAAAACCCTATAGTCTATAGCCTAAGGCTATAGACCCTGTATAAATGTCGATGTCAAGAAAAAATATTAAATGTAAATGAGGAACGCCGCTGAGCACGTCACAAAAACCTAACCTCTCCAACAACAAACTAATGCGCACTGTCCAGGACAGTCTGTCCTTGCGTGAGCGTGACATCGGACTCACGTTCGTCTTAGATCGGAGTGATTGTGCCCTAATCTAGCGGTTCCTTGGATTACATACGTAAACAAAACAACAATAATTGTAATGTCTGTGCTTGGTTCCGAATTTTATGATGCAATTTCAACACTATCACTGATATTATATCAGTCATTAACGCTACTAATAACAAACTTGCGCGAGTACATTTTCCAATACACAACCACGATTGCACTTTTAACCTTACAACAATCCACATGATTCATGCAATCCACAAACTGTTTTTTCTACGACCACTATGTAAAAATCACATTTCGTAATGGCATCGTTGCTTAGAAAATGAATCTTTTCATTGGCAAGGCAAAACACGAATGTAAAGTGACATTTCTGTGCGAAAAGTGACAGGTCTATGTGAAAAGAAATTGATAGCATCGTTTTGATAGACATTCGTTTCAAAATTTGTATTGTATTTGTGTGTGTATGTCTAAAGATCATTTAGAACACAATTAATTGTGTCAAACACGTTTGTATTTGGAAATAATAAAAAATAAGAGTGTCGTAAAAAAAACATTGGTACAAAACAGCAAACGTCATCCGCTGTCTTTGACGTCAGCCGCGATTGGTACGGCATTCCACCACATACACTACAGGGCCGGTTTTATCTATTTTGTATATTAATATTTATAGTTTTAAAGTAAATTTGAAAAAAAAGTAAGAATGCAAAGACACAAATTAAACGAAAACGGAATAAACACTAATTTAGCAATAAAATAAATAAAGAATATACAAGGTTGGTAGCCGGAGTAAGCAAAAAACTAACATACCCACCCCCATTCACGAATACCAATTGAATGGGGATACTACTAAGGCCTAGGTTGAGGGGGATTCCGGATTGTACTTAGTTTTGGGTCAGTTCAATGTCCTCCAAAAACCCTTCCTAAACTGGACGTATGGCCCGACCCGGCTGACAAAAATTCCGGGAGCGGCCTTAACCTTTGACACTGTCATCCACGAACTTCTAGGGTAGATCTACCAGCCGGCGTAAAAACTTCGGATCCAACAAACACAGGTAATGCTGTGATTTGGCGGGATACGCAGGAGAACGGAAAGGGGGTAAAATAACCCCGGGAGATCAGTGGATGATAATATATCTGGGGCCCGCCATACGTTCCCATACTCATACTCATACTCATCAAATTAATAGTTTTTAACGAATACTTTGCTGTAACGTTCTTGACTAGAAAATTCTTAGGCCTAGGACATGTTGCGCTATCTGGGTAGATTGTGTGCGAGGCAATTAATTAAGCTTTCACCGCCGGGTTTTATATACCTATTTTGTTCAAGCGTTAAATTAGAATATTCCGGCAGTCATATTATACATTTTATGAAATAATAATAATTAGTAGTTAATGAGCATGTAATTGTAATTAATATTTAATGTTATTTTTGTTGTTATTTATAGTTCTTTTCATTTTAGGACCTATACCTGACCCACTGTTAAACTGGATTACGGAGACAAGCAATGTTTCTTCAGATCAACGATGGACCCTCCTTAAAAGTCTCAAGGCTGCTGCAGCTTATCAATTTAGGGTTAGCGCAATTAATAGTGTTGGTGAAGGAAACCCCAGTGAACCCAGCAATCAAATTATGTTGCCTCAAGAAGGTAAGATAAGCAAATTACACCTTATTATTATTTGATTAATGTGTGTAAAACTGTACATAAGTTATAATAAATGTAAAATTGCGAAAAGGTAAATAGTAAAAATTAATAAAACAGTAAGGGCCGGTTTTTCAATCGTTGGTTAAGTTTATCTTACAGTTAACTTTCTTAGATACTATTGTGTTAACAATAGTAGGTATCTAAGGAAATTAACCGTAAGATAAACTTAACCAACGATTGAAAAACCGGCCCTAATAGATTTAAAAATTTCGGAAATAAAAAAATTATACTAGAAAAAAGTGTTATTAAATTTTTTTGCAAATATTCTAATTTTTTCGTAATGCTAGTAGTGTTTTAAAGGCTCTGAAAACAAAACGATTTTTTTTCTGCAACAGGTTCAAATGACAAATAATAAAGATTCTAATTTTTTTGCAAGAATCTTATTAAGGCCAGACCTAGAAACCATACCAGGGAGTACAAATGTATACAAAAATCTATTTTGTTAAAAATGGACATGTGTATACGTAGTTAAAACGTTGGATGGAAACGTTATTTGAATGGGCGATTTTAAGTGGCAATTACGTAGTTAAAAATTTTAGGCGAATCTATTGCTAAAAACTTAGTTATATATAACGTTTCCAACCATACATTCAAACTAAACATTTTTAATGTGTATTTTTTTAAATTTTTATCCTTTATAATACATTACTTATAAAAGTAAAATCAAACTGTGCTATAAATTTATATTTCCCACTAAAATTTATACACTCAAACAAATATACTATAACAAATTATTATACAAATTTTCAAAGTTGTCTTAATGTTAAGAAACGGTAATTTCTACCAGGGTACACTATAGTGTATGTTATGTGCTCTTTAATATTTCTATAAAGTCTTTGGGTGACAGTTACAGTGATTTAGTCTGCACAGGTAGTGTCATTTAGCACTAATTTGCACATAGTTCACATGTTGGAAGATTTTTTAATGCACTGAACTTCTAACAGTAGTATAAATTTTGTGCGATCACAATTAAAATGTTTATTTCCACATTGTAAATTAATTAGAGTGACAACTTGTCACTCTTGTCACTGACAAGACTTGAGAGAATTATAAGACATTGAACCGATTGGTCGAATTACGGAAGTGAAGTAACAAATTGTTGAAATTACACAAGTAACTATTAAACTAGGTATCTATGGTGTGTTTGGGAAGGAAGCAAAATTATACATTCAATTTCACAGCAAATGTAAGTTTTTGCTTTTGAGATCCACGAAGAACCCTTACATTTAATTTAATTATATTTTCGTCCAAATAAAAACTGGGAAAAAAAATTTGGATTCTCAATTAACCGATGAATGGCATTTATTTTGTGAGCAAGCGCAACGCGCCTCGTCCGGGTTCCCCTGACATGACACCTGTGGTCGCGATGCATGCACAAACATGAACAAATTTTATTTATAAAATGTCAGTTGAAAATTGTGTGTAATTCTTTTATGTTATTAATATTCTTGAATAATTAAAATAAAGAAAATAAAATTCAATTTTTAAACCTTTATAACTAGAACTATTTGTCAAAAAAATGTTTTGTAATTTTTTGTATAAAATAAACACCACTGCAACTACCGTATTTTGGGCATATTACAGCTATTGCATTATACAGTATGTCCACGGATCGGGTTGCAACTACCGTATTTTGGGCATATTACAGCTATTGCATTATACAGTATGTCCACGGATCGGGTTACAAAGAGGAATAAAATAATATTTTACATTTCTCAGAAAATTTAATTTTTGAAAAAAAGTTTTTGCTTGATTAGAAACCCTCAGAATATGCCAAACCTAATTTTTATTGTATATGGTTAATTTTCAATTTTTGTTTTTGAAAACTTTGGACTAAACATTCCGGAATAAAATCGCCGTGTGAAATTAAAATTCTTTTTAAATTATATTATGCAATTTATGACAATTTTCCAAAAAATCAGTAAATTTTAATGCCAAGAAATCAATTTTGCTAAAATCTGTTGTAGATACAAACAAAGAAATAATAATAAAAATATTTTTGGGACACATTTTTTTTCAAAAATCACTAATTAATTTATTAATCATATAACTACAACAGAAAATGGTTAGTATGACAAGTCAAAAACATAAATTAAAAGTATAATGAACATAAATTTGCTAAATTATAAGGATGATTTTTTTTAAATACCTACTTCTTTATTTAAAAAAAATTCAATACAAATATTTTAACTTGATGATTTTTTGTTTGTTTTTCGCTATAAGAACAATATCCTAAATCATTCTATTTTTTAATAATATTTTAACAAACAATAATATAAACAATATTACAAATAAATTAACTTTAATTTGCTTTTCTACAACAATATTAATTTAGATGTATTCCCAAGAATTTTCAAAAGCATTCCTTAGTTCATTTCGGTTTGCTGGCCTAAAGTCCCGTTGATATAATTTTTTAAATATAAAACCCCACACGTTTTCAATGGGGTTTAAGTCAGGACTTCTAGCTGGCCATGGCAAAACAGTTATGTGGTTTTTGTTTACCCACTCTGTAACCGCGAGCTGTGTGAACTGGTGCATTGTCCTGTAATATAATATTTATTAAAATTATTTTTGTTTACTATACAGTTTTCTAACATGTTGTAATATAAAATTTTCTGTAAAAACATGTCTAACTGAAGGTGGCATAACGTTGTCCAAAATCGTCGTATAGTGTTGAGCCGTTAATCTACTATCAATTTCCCAACATATTCCCGCACCATGGACGCTTATCCACGCCCAAACATTTATGGAAAAGCGTCCACTATTTGAGGTTCTTAATGTGTAGTTCAGCCTTCCATTATTGCAAGATTGGAACGTTTTTTAATCAGAAAATATAACATTATTCCATAATTTAGATAGTCATTGGCGAACTGGACTCTCCTGCGCTTATTATCGTCAGTTAAAAAACCTTATGAACAGCAGCACAGTTTTTTAAGCCAGCTTGTTTCAATCTTTTTCAAGCTGTTCGAAGAGATCCTAGAAATTGTGCATCTTCTCGGGCCTTAACTGCGCTATTGTAAGGATTTTGCCTAATATGTGCGACAAGAGCATTGTCTTCATTTTCGTTGGAGATTTTACCTACACCTTGCCTGATAGGTCTTCTCAATCTTTGTTGTTCTTGCCAACGTTTCTTGATATAAAATATGCAGCTTTTACCGACATTTAATTTGACATAAATTTGACAACTACCGACGGCACTGATGCAAAGCCCGTATTACACGATTAAATTTTGCCGTTCACATTTCGGGGACGCCAATTGTACATGTGCATAAGTGTCTTGTATGAGCTTTAGTGATCGCTTAGGTTCTACAGGTGAAGAGTTTAGGAACGTATACTTGGATTAATAATATTGGTATTAAGAAATAAAACGAACTAATTCAAAAAGTTTTGGCACGTATGTATGTAAAACACTTGACGCGTTTCTCGGAAAAACATCATTAGTCCAAAATTAACATATTTGGGAAAATGAAAAAAACTCTCCGACATTCCCATTTTTTACCAAAGTACTTTATTGACATATTTACTACATGTAAAAAAATGTAAGATACTTTGTCCAGAATTCCTCATGTTTTTTGTTTCGACGAATATGAAAAAAACACAAAAAATACATGAACATGTGAGGTTTTTAGAAGAAAAAAACGAACAATTCTCCTTACTACAAACACTATAAACTAAATATTAACTCTGAGTAACAAAATAAATGAAAAAACTAAAAACTGTATTAATGCCACACTCAGTCTTCGCATCCACTGCTGTTATCATCGTTGTCGACCGTGTTATCAGTACTGTCAGGTGCTATGGTCTTCTGGTCTTTTATCAAGTTATCATAAAATTTTCTATTGCTGTGGTCATGTAAAAGAGGTAGAGTGTCCAAAAACGTCACATGTTATGCACATGTGACTTTCTTAGACGAAACGGAGTGGACTTGTGATGTTTTTAGAAGAACAAGCTAAATTTCATATTTAATTATTATGGAACCAATGACATTTTTACGAGAAACACTTATTTGTATACGTATATATGGAGGTTAGGAAACAGTTGGTGCTAATATCTAAATTTCGACGATATTGGACTAATGATGTTTTTCCGAGAAACGCCTCACTTTATTGTACATAAAACATTAAAAACAATTTATATACGGATAAGTCATATACAACCCTTGCGGCCTTGAGTTTACAGTGAATTCACCGTGAATTCACCGTTTGCGTGAATACACCGTTTATGTGCAGTGAATATACTGTCCATTTGTGACATTTGTAGACGGTAATTAAACGGTGAACTCACGCTGTTTATGCGATAAATTCACGGTGATTTCACGGTAAATTCACGGTGAACTCAAGTTTGCAAAATCACCGCAAATTCACTGTGAAAGTACCGTAAATTTATCGTGAAATCACCGTGAATTCACCGTAAAAGCGCTGTGAGTTTACTGTGAAAACACCGCAAATTTTAAGTGTAAGATTCGAACAATCTGCTAATTGGCACAATCCACACAACAAGGTCTGTTCGATCTTCTTAAAATACGAACGAAAATCGGTACTGTTATGCGCACATACGGCTACCGCCATATTTGATTTATTTGCCGCCGTTAATTTAAATTACCCAAAATAGTAATTCTGTCTAACAGGCATGGAAGAAGTAAACAAAGTTTTTTTTTAAGTTTTAAAGAAACTGGAAATGTTTTTTAACATTATAAGATTTGTAAAATGTGAAATCACTATTTCTGCCATTATTCTTGCAAGTTTTTACCATACACCATGCCACTAAATAAATAAATTTATATATAAATAGGAGAAACATTTTACCATAGTTTTACTTACTGGTTAAACAATATTTTTTGCACAATAAACACAAGTACACTGGTGCAGTCAACAAAATCCTCAATAATCCAATAAAATAACAGAAGCACACTAACAAAAGAAGAATTTTTAAACACTAACCAA